CATATGTAAAACCAAGTACAGCAATAAGGACTTTTTTTTATTTATTGAATATTATAAAATACCCAAAACAAAGCAAAGAATTATAGTCATAACTATATACAATTTTCTGTGACGTGTGTGTGTACACCAGCGATACCGTGGAAATGAAGAAGACTTAATAACGTAGTTTGATTGCTTTCTCGATTGGTGTGTAATCGCTACTCAAAGAAATAATTATTTTAATCTGTTAGGCAAACGATGATGCTGACGCAAGTCCTAAATTATTATAGTGACGTGTATTAAAAAATGGGCGTGTGTTAACATGAACGTGTGTTATAACACTTTTAATCGCTTGATGTATATATTAAGCCAGCTGTTACGCTTGACTTTGTTAACACAAAAAAATATAGCCTATATATTAATGATATAATCTAATTTCTCGTAAAATTTCATTGAATGCTAAAAACTACTTTTATTATCAGCACGTTTACCGTGATTGTTTTATTAACGATTAATATGAAATATAATATTGATGTTTTTGAAATATGAATTATAAATACAATATGGCCATCAATATTGGTATTACGATATCTCAAATTTTTTAGCTTAATTTATTGTCATTTTTATTAATTTAGCTAAAGTTAATGGTTTGTTATCTGTGAAAGTACAATGATAGTGTTCGCGAAATAATTTAAGTACTCTATTCTTATTTTTTTTATATTACGATGGTGGCAATTACGCATACGCCCATCTGACAGTAAACCGGTTACTGTAGCCTATGGACGCCTAAAGTACCAGGGTTGTCACGTAGGCATTACCGACCCTTGAGAAACCTTAATATGTTGCTGTACACCATGCTATAGTCTCTTGAGAAAACCTAAATGTACGAAAGAGGAAGCTCCTCTGAAACCGCACTGTCAGTGATTACTTAGATTCAAGCGTGTGGGGATGAATTCTTATATGTTATCTTAAATTTTGAGCTTGATTGTATTGTTCCAATTTAATTTTAACCCAAGTATATACATTAAACTATAATTATATACATCATTATCATTTCAGCCAGTGTCTATCCACTGTTGGATATAGGCCTTTCTCAATGATTTCCTCCATGTGCGATCTTCCGCCTTCTGCATCCATCCACTCCCGGCCACCTTCGTGATGTCGTCGGACCATCTTGTAGTTATTTACATATTGACTTTAAATTATAAAAATAAAAAGTTGCGATTTACAATCTGTTATCGTTGGAGTTTTCGATTTTAAAAGTCAGGACGAAAGTTACTACTGTGATTTTATACATCTTTTTTCTGATGTTTTAAATGAGTGAACCAAAGAAAAATGACAAGTTTTCACAAGGAATTATAACAGAGCTCTTTAGAATAATCCGCTCTTTGATTGCGAGGAAAAGCGTTACTTTGAATAAATTATTCTTGAAAATGTAGATGGAAATACCATTTGATCAATTAAAATTTGGTTTTTATGATAATTTGGGGTAATAAACTTCATAACACTTATGTTAATACGATTTTTAAAATATTATATGTGACAATAAATTTTATGATCTAGTTAATATTAAGTATTAAAAAACAAATGTTTTTTGCATATTAATCTATTTATACTTGATAATCGTCGTAATCGTTTATTTTTCAGAATTAAATGACTGAATTATATTGACATTGTATGTGTAATATTTTCTTATCTATGATTGAAAGACATGAAAATAAATTGTATCACGAGGACGAACATAAGCTATCCTTTATCTTCAAAAAGTAGTCTGGTGTTGGATGAAATAGAGCTTGTAACTTTGTGCAGACGAAGTCATGGAAAACAGACAGTAGATATTATGTATGACTTATTTAGAAAACATATTCAATAATAAGGCTAAAAATTATAATGACGAAAGTTTGAGAGTATGGACGGATAGATGTATGGATGGTTGTTAGTTACTCTTTCAGGCAAAAACTACTGAACGGATTGTTTGTATTTGCCGGTTCTTTTATATATTATACATTATTATGTATGAAATCAAAGACTGTTAGCTGTTGACTTATATGAATATATTTCAATTGTTTTTTATAATGTTTTTAAATATTTATGTATAAAAAAGGTTTTAAACACGGATTTTGATGAAACTTTACAGTAATATAGCTTATATATCAGATTAACAAATGGGCTATAAGTTTCATAAGGGTAACCCCACTGGCACAGCTAGAGTAATATAAGTATATAAAGTGCTGAAAATTATAATCAATAAATTATTCTACACATTAAAGTTGTAAAGATACGACATAATAGATTCGGGAATGGCCAAATGGTCGTTAAAGAAAATTTATTACCAATCGTTTAATAGCATTTAGAGGTTACAAAATTACAAAAGTAGCTATATCTAATTATGTGATACCTGAACAAACAAATATTGCTATATTAATTATAGTTAGTACTCATTATTTATTGTGCAAAAACAAAGTTCTCTATTTGATTGAGTATATTTACCGATATATATATTTCCTATCCGTTACTGGACATTTTGTCTGTTTTTGTTTTAATTGAAATATTTCAACCTAGTATAGAATTGTAATGTAATTGATTTTGCACCTCTTTCAGGTAAAAATATATAATATCTAGATATTACAGAATTGTTTATACGTAGAATATAACAGATAGTCTATGTCTCTTCACATACATTACACTAAGATAGATTATCATGTCAAACATTAAGTACAGTTCAGCCGTTCAATCACGATGATGTAACAGAGTCACACACTGGTAGCTTTTGTAATATCAATAAAAGATGTCAATGTAAATTTCAATGTCAATTAACAGTATTTTTTATGTACATGAAAATATTGTCAAGTAAAAATCAAATTAGTTTATTATTTCTGCTTCCGATGGTATTTATTTCCATAGTATTGTATTGCCCTTGCCGTTCAAGTTGTTTTTCTTATCGAACAATATCTTAAATTATTATGGCGTACCATGCAAAAAAATTAAAGATCTGTTTTTAATTAACGCTGTAACTATTATTTATATCAATAAAAACAACATTTTTATTTATAAACAAGTTGTACCATAAGTCCTTTAAAATTTAAATTTCGAATAAAATGCAATTAGTTAAATGAAATGTAGACTATATTTCTCCCGAAACACTTCTACAACCAGCCCCTCTGCAAGACGTTATTATGATTCATTAAATTTCCCGAAACCCTTGTTGTAGTTGTAATGAAAACAACAAATATACCTACGCAATGAAATTTTGCGATTGGTCCAAAATGAACGTAATCTCTTAATTGAATTTGCCGTAAGATTCCGAGGCACTTCGTAATTTGCGACGACATTAACTCCGTTTTAACGACTTCAAATGTTTTCGTATGGCGATTACGATTTTAGTATCCACCGCATCGAAGGCGTAAATTATGAAAGGATCGCGGTTTTCGTATTGTCTATGATATTGTCGATATCTAATTAAATATATTTAATGACATTAAATATATTTTTTAATAATTATAAATTGAGACCGAAGTAAGCATTATTCAGAGTGTTAAGCATACATCTACTGCATCGTTGTCTTGTCTATTTCAGCCACCAAGCTACACACTATGTAAGCTGTATTTCAATTAAAAGTATGATATATGCCAGTGAAATTACACGGATACAGAATCATTACACCTTAGTGCTCTGGAATAGGGAATATATAAAGTGTCAAATAATGACATGATATCTGTGGTTTTTTACCATTTACCATTTGCTTTTTTGCCATTCAAATTACATAAAAAAATGACGTGAATATTTTACGCTAATGATGTACTGTTGTCTATCAGACCACCTTAAGAGTACAAATCTTACATGCGGTGACAGATAAGAGAATTCTGTAGCATGATAACTTACATTAAATATTTCATATTTATTATATCGTCATCATATAACTATGATGATATGTCGACTAAGAATACAATGGAGACAATACTGAAATAAAAGAAACACATTTCAAGTCCAAGTTGTTGTAAGAGATGTTTATGAGAAATGGAAATATCAAAATAAAACATTATACGTAATCGTTTTGTCATAATGGTAGTCGGTTAAATTCGATTCTTAAGAAGAAAGAACGACAATACGTTCCACTTCTAGGAAAAGACTCAAGGTTGTTATGACGATTATGATATTACGAAGGAAAACAGTATATATACACTTGCAATCAAGTTCAAAAATATAGACAGTTAAATTAGCGATGGAAAGGCTATAATAGCTAAATAGTTATTACGCAGGTCCTACTAAAAATGTTTCCATTAATCAGCATTGTTTCTTTTTCATTAAAGAATAACACAACAAAGACACGACTGTCATGCACAAAAAACATTATTTACAGTTCACATTAAATGTATTATTACCAATTACATATAACTAAATATTTCCTTCATATTTAATTAAAAATAATAGGCGTAACATAAAGTAATATAATATAGCATTAAATAGTCGTCTTATTGCAAATATTTACTCATGTCTTAAATAACCTATATTTTAAACCGCACCTAAAAGTCATTCGACATCAGAGACACCTTTTGAAAGTGGTTTTATTCTCACCGTAAATTCTTTGCGAGCACAAACAAACGACTGTTAACAATGAATCTCTGAAAAGGTTTCGCCAACATTTAAATTCAATTTCGACTCAATTCGCTTTATTTATAATGCTTTCTGCTTCCCAAGGAACAAATTTACTTTTTGTAGCTCAGACATGTGTCTACTGCAATATAATCTCTAGGCCATTTCTCTTAATGTGTTCTTGGTTTTAATAGCAATCGTATTGGTCGTCATAGAGACAATACGAGTGTATGAGCCGTAAATTCAGACAAATTTAAGCTCACTTTGTTACAAGAAAAAAATTGTTATAATAAATATTGCAAAATATTTCATTATACATTTTGTTTACTGTGTTATACACATAGAATTTTATAAGTAGACCCCATTATTCTACCAGTATCTCACTGGCATAGAATATATCAGCTAATTCAAGTATTTTTTGTTCTCAGATGGACTGGCAATCAATCATAACCGTTGAGAAGATATTTTGGCGAAGTTAACATGACATCAACACACAACGCCAGCGGACATAATGACGGGCCGTCCACAATGGCTGACAAATTTGATCCGTCTGCAATGGGATATAATGGCACACACATGGGCAGAGGAGTCATCCAGATCCTTACAAAAACACTCGCTGGAGAAAGTGTGGATATTATAGATGAACCTAAGAATAAAACAACCGATATCATAGACGTCGATGTTGTACAAGTAGCATTTTGTATTCTGTATACTTTAATATTCGTTTTAGGTGTTTTCGGAAATGTTTTAGTTTGCTATGTTGTCTTTAGAAACCGAGCAATGCAGACCGTGACAAACCTCTTCATCACAAATCTAGCATTATCAGATATATTGCTATGTCTCTTTGCGGTGCCGCTCACCCCTATGTATACTTTTATTGGGCGATGGGTTTTTGGAAGACTTTTATGCCATCTAATGCCATACGCTCAAGGGACCAGTGTCTACATATCTACATTAACTCTTACCTCTATAGCGATAGACCGGTTCTTTGTCATAATTTATCCCTTCCACCCTAGAATGAAATTAAACACTTGCATTTTTATTATAGTTTTCATTTGGATATTCTCTTTGGTAGTAACATGTCCATATGGCCTTTTCATGGGCCTATTAATTACAAGGAACAAGACTTACTGCGAGGAGAGTTGGCCATCAGATAGGTCCAGACGGATTTTCGGGGTTTTTACAACCGTACTTCAATTTTTAATACCATTTTTAGTTATAGCCATATGTTATACTTGTGTTAGTATAAGACTGAATGACCGCGCTAGGTCAAAACCAGGTGCTAAAAATACAAGACGGGAGGAAGCCGACAGAGACAGGAAGAAAAGAACAAACAGAATGCTCATATCTATGGTAGCCATATTTGGAATTTCATGGCTGCCACTCAATTTGATAAATATTTTCAATGATTTTTACGCACAAATGACCGAATGGAATTATTACTACGTGTCATTTTTTCTTGCCCATTCAATGGCAATGGCATCAACGTGCTATAACCCATTTCTATATGCGTGGTTAAATGAAAACTTTAGAAAAGAATTCAAGCAAGTGCTGCCATTTTTCGAATCGACAGGTGGCGTCAGGAATAGTTACCACTCAGGAAGAATGCCAACACATAAGTCTGATAAAATATGTAATGGTAACGAAACAATTCAAGAAACACTACTAGCTTCTTCATTTAATAGACCGCCTTCTATAAAACAAAGAGTATTAGAAGGCAATGGCAGAAAAGATAATGGCGTGGAAGTAGAAAACATTCTACTTGAGGATAAAATAATCTCAGCTACTTTTCACACAAGAAGTGAGAATATGAATCTGCAGTTAATAGATGAAGAATCACAGCTCAGCGAACCAAAAGACACTAAATCACCTGCGATATAATTAGGTAAGTAACTTATATTATTATTTTCTTATTTTTATGACTAGGGACTCTTATCTCTAGTCATAAAAATTAGTTAAAAATATTTCCTTTTATATTTATTACTAACTTTAATCTATTTTTAGCCTTTGATACTATTTTAGTTACTTTTCTTGAACATATTTTAAATAACAAACGAATTACATATATAGAGAAACGCACAACTTGCGCAAATTGTTATTCCCCTTATAACCCTAAACTGTTACGGATTGACACAAACTTTCCTTCATTTTATGTTTATCTCCCTTCTCTCACAGGTACGTATGTAATCGACGAAGTTTTATCATTAAGCACCTTGTTGAAGCTTACTCGTAGCAGAAGTCAATTAAAGATTTCTCTACTCACAATCGAACTTAGAACATAAAACTGCATCGCTAAATGAAAGTGTAGTAACGAAGTTATACTTTTGACTTTCTTTGTTTTTATTTTTGTTGAAAACTTCAACGCAATTATCTAACAAAATGCATTGTCTAAATTAATACTCAGACATAACTTCTATCACTGATATTGGTATACAAAGTTTCAACAGATGCAGAGTACAAAATTTTGTTAGCACATTAATTACCTTTTATATAGTATTTTTATGGTTAGTTATTTTAGCCCATGTGATGACTAAGTAAGAACATGTATACGTTTCTCTGCTCTTTTTGGACATATGAGAAGAATAAAAGGTAATTAGAGTTAGAAATCATTAATAAATTTGGCAAGGAAAAGCCTTCCGCGATCGTAAATGTGCAAATAATGCATTTTTAACTTTTTATGCAACCTTTCTGGTTGCATAAAAGGCCAGCTCACATGATAGAAAATGGTAATTACTGTTTATTGACATAAAGAACTCTATTAGTCGTCAAGAGGCATCTGTAGTACCTCTCACTCGATACAGTGTTCCTCGGAATGAAGATGCCATATCCATAAGTACTGTTTATATCTAGTTTATCAAAACCGGAACACAACTTAAAAAGCAAGCTGGTTTGCGACTGAAATACGAGAGAGTTACTCATCAACTTAGTAATATTTTTATCTTTTGTTACAGGAAGACCCATTAGACAACGAGTTTGAGACGATGAAGTATTTGATTAATTTGACTGTAAAATTAAAAAAAAAATAATGACATTGATGTAAAATAGGTTTCTATTTCAAATGTAATTAAATTACTTTGCGAAACAACTAAATGTGTATTCTGTGACTTTATTTGCTTGCTGTGATCATTTTTGGTACTTAATAATATTATAAAATGTTGGATTTTAATTATAACATAAAATTTTAATAATCATATTGAGTTTGTAAATATTATGTTTAATAGTTAGATTTACATTCAATGTTAGTTATAATATGGACTAAGGTAGTAAATAAATATTTGTACTTAGTATACAAAAATAATTAAAAACAAATATTCTTTAAGTTAACGCAAGTATCCAAAGGCCTACATTAAGACCGAAAAAGAATAGATTTTTGTTGGTGTAGATAATATTTTTTTAATTATATTTAAAAATTTAGTACTTTAAATTTTAGAAGAAATTGATTGGTGTTTTTCTAATAAACTTATGAGCCCAATTTCTAACTTATAATCTGAAATAGTTTTCGTCGACTTTTAAATAAGAAATGTATATATTAAATTATTTATTATTTAGTTGTAGTTACGTATAAAATTAAAAAACGGCGAAAATTATATTTTCTATGAACGTAGCTAGCAAATCATTATTTCTTATATACAAACCATTTTAAATAGTATTTATAAGATATAATCTACTTTTTACTGGTATATAGGAAATGCAAAATCCTATCCATTCAAATTGATATAGTGGGAAATATTTACACGCTTTAGTGATTTTAGAAACGATTTGAACTTCAGTCACTTTTAGAAGCTGACTGAGCAACAAGTTTAGAGCATTCTTTGAATATTTCACTGCCTGTATAAAGTGGCAAAAGCTGTCTATTTCATAAAAGTTAATGCAGTGGAGAGATAAAATATTTCACACCTTTTAATTTTATTATAAAACTGAATCAGCTAATCGTCTGTGCTCGAGTTTAAGCTTTTTTTTTAAGGTTTTCTGTCTACAGAAGAATGTTGTTTTAATAATTATACTTAGTAAATCATATCTGTAATTGTATATGTCTTATAGTTTAAAAATTTTTTAGATTTCCTATGCTACGTATTATAGAAAAAAAAGTTTGAAATTTTGAGTTTATTAAGAAACACCAATCAAATATTAAAATATATTTTACTGTAAATATTTGATCTTTAGTGGGAATAAGATAATTAATATTATTTTGTGTGTAATCATTACACATTCTGTAAATAGACTGTCAATGTAATAACATAACGAATCGCTTTCACTTAAAATAGATTTATGCATAATGTTAGTAGTTTAAATGTTTGCTGTTAAATTATAATATTGTGGAGAAATAAATGAGGCTGGTTTTATAATAAATTGTTTTATTTTATTGTTTTATCTTGACTATAATCTAACGGACTGCTACATTAAAAACTGACTAAGAATTACATTATCAAACACACTGAGATAAAAAATATACTTATATAGTGAAGTCATTTGACTACGTACTCCAAAAACCTGTAGGTAGGTATATAAATAATTTCTAATCATTCAAAAATAATATATTTTGAAAAATGTCGTTGAAATTTAAAAAGATTATAAAAAGTCATATCTACTGTATTCACAACAATTTGTATATATTGTTTTTTATTGTAAAAAAAACTGGACTGAAGAAAATGCCGACAGGTAAAATTGACACACGACTAAATTATAATACATTGATTGATTTACATCTATATACTATAATTTATAATAAAGTAAAGATCTGAACAAGAATACAAAAAAATATTTAACGACTAATTTATGTTTCTATAGTAACACTTAATAAAATATTTTTTTAAGATTCTTGTTTGTCTTCATATAGGGAAAAAATACCTATAATTTATGACATGGACATACTATTATATTAGTTTAGTCCCATATAGACATTTACCTTATAATTATCACTAATAATTTCAGATGAAGTACCTATCCGATACCAGTTTACGACCCCACTCTTACATTTGTCGTGCTCGTTTCCTCTGAATTGCGTAATAATGTAACTCACATATTATGCACATCTGGGAGCGAGCAGAGAGTGATAAAATTTTATAGATCAAGCATCCAATTTCAACTTTTAACCGAATTCGTGCGGGTAAATAGATTTCGGTTAAATTCAAAATTCAACGCCCTTGTAATAGGTATGCAACATTGAGATTATTAATTTGCTTGCTCATGAGTGTCACTACATTGATGAAAGCTACTTATTAGTTCTTGAAGCTGATCCCGCTGCCCAATAATTTCCTGATGACTTAATAGTCATCAGGAAATTATTGGGCAGCGGGATTTAAATCAGTCAACCAATTAAAATTAGAATTGTCAGAACTTCATAATTGAAGTTCTGACAATTCTGATTTTAATTGGGTATTTTTATTTATAATTTTTAAAATTTCATCTTCACTCTCTTCTCTCTCCCTGATCAACTTGTCACTGAGATCTTTGGATGCCTGAAGTTCTTGTAGGGCCACTTTAAGCTTCATCTCTGTCTGCCGTGCAGTTGTGGAACGGGTAGACAGTGACATTATTGAATATATAAATAGTTACTAGGGAGAGTGCAGTGAGTTATTTCTAAAAGAAACAAAGTATCACAACGAGAACAGCAACTGAACCTTACTTATTTTATGTGTTAAAATTTTGAATAATTTCTGTTAGAAATATTTTTACAACCTATATTTTACAAGATTAAGTAAATGGAATTAGATTGTGCTACTTTCCTTCAAATTATATTAATATAAAACATAAAATTACTTACAATATATTTTGTGGGTATATTTTTTCCTTCGACGTACGCAACAACTGAACTTCACAATTATTAATATCAATTTAACTTGATGTGAATATTTCTATAAAACTTGTATATATTATGAAATTCTTTGAATAAGTCCAACAAATAGTAATAAAAATAGTTTTATAATTAGTTGTTTACCAACGAAAGAAGTTTGACAGATGGCCGGTACACTATTTTGATGTCGATTTTTGCAAATAATACACTACCAAATTGTACACAAACAATAATCGACACTTATTGCACTATTATATCACTAATAACGATGTTGAAAATATAATATTCGTGTGATAGACTATTAAAAATTATTAATTTATTACGACCACCTGAAAATGACAACTGTCGTTGGTGTTGCTAGTCGAAGAAAAAAAAATCAAAAACAAAATAATTAAATACCAATTGTTTTTTTAGACTAATTATTATTTAATGTTTATTACACTTAAAGTTCTTTGTGTCTCTTCTCTGGAATCAAATCTCAATACTGATTACGTTACTAGCGCATAATTCAAGAGTATAAAAATAAAAGGTATGAAACAAATCTGCCGGTCTACTATGTGCACAAATTCGAATTCTATATAATATAATACATATATTTTAGGATAATTTCACACAGCGCCATCTTGTCCCAAGCTATGCAAAGCTTATTTATTTTATTAGCTATATATTATTATTAGCTTATTTTATTATACCTTATTTTTTGTAAATACATACATAATATAGATAGAAAATACTCAGACCAATACAAACAATTACACTCATTAATACAAATGTTCAAAACTCGTAATGTTCGGAAGTAAATCTGTGCGCGAAATCGCTACACCAAGTCATCGGTGATGAAGCGATTTCGCGCACAGATTTACTATATATAGACTTTGAATTTGTTTACATAGTAGACCGGCAGATTTGAACCCACGATCTTTGGAATCGATGTCGGGTAAGAAAGCACAGAATAAATTTGAAATAAATGAGACCACGACGCTCTCATTTAAATCCTATTTGATAAAACTATTTAGTAATTTAATTATTATTTACCCCATTTACCTAGTTGGTTATTATTGATGATGCTAACCTTTTACCATCGCACCGCTCGCCATCGACAGACAATTCACCGCCACATGCTGGAACCTGAGTGTTCTCGGACAGTGCGGTTTCAGAGAAACTTTCTCCCGCGTGCACTTAGATAGTGGAATGATCTACCTGCCAAGGTTTTCTCGAGAGAACATAGTATGGAGTTTTTCAAGTTCCTTAATGATCGGCAAGGTGCTAGTGACACTTCTGGTGTTTCAGGCATAAGTTACACTAACCGTTTACCATCAGATGGGCCGTATGGTAATTTTCCTCCTTTATAGTATAAAAAAAATTGGCTAGTTGACTATTCATGCACCTAAATGTTGTATTTTCCTATTGTTTGTTCAGTTTCCAGAAATAAAATCTAATTATTCAACAAGTTTTCTTTCAGGAAGGAAACATGAGAAGTTTTGTTCATGGAAGTAATATTAGTTCGAGGTCAAATAAAATTGCTGTAAACTTACGGAATGGAAAAGTTCAGTATTAAATAACGATTGTTAATTTCTTTGTTTCCTTAAATAAATATAGTCAGTAACTGCTATTTTTATATGTATATTACTGTTCTGCTCTTCTTTGCTAACGTTTTTTTTAATAAAATTGTGTATTTTAAGAATTTCCATTATAATAAATAAGGTTTTATCTTTGGATTAACACATCATGTCAATTTCCGAGGGCGGGATTGATTCGATCACAAAACAAACATTTACATTTACGTTCTTGACTGAATTTTTCATAGAATGGCAAATAAAATAACAGCCCACAACAAGGTGGGATATATCTTTATATATTATACATATATAGTATAGTATATAGTAGTACATATGAACAGCACCACAAACATGACATTATTATGTAACAGTACTGGAAGTCTTCTTTCGTTACTATTTCGGAAAACTGGGCTTTTTATATTTTGGTCTGTGTATATTGATCATTATATGTATGCACATACGTACGTACTTAGTTACTTAAAATATAATTACGTCAAAAATTTAGTATTTCTATCGATAGTTTAATAACACATAGTACTGTGTTAGTTTACTACTGTGTTTTATTATAAGACGTAGTTGATTTTCGTATAAACTTTAAACCTATTACCCCTACTATATTAGTAATGAAGTGCTTTGGAATATTATTCTCAGAATCTTGAACTTATATTATGCAATAAACCGGTACTTCATATCACCGGGTTCTAATAGTATTATAACAAACTCCTAACAAATGAAAATAACATTTATTAATTTCATCAGGTGAGTAAACTTTA